AAAAAGAAGGAATAAAGTAGAATTAATGGTGAATTAATTAATTCTAGAGTAAGATTAGAAAAATATATGAGGATTGAGAATAAATAAAGTGTTGTTATTGTTATTCTTGATTTCAATGCCTAGTCCATTACCATTGATAAAAGTGAGCATATGTCAAGACCATCTTGTATTTATTACCTGTGGTAACACCTCTAATCATGTTTCTTGGATATCCAAAGCAGAAAGTTTTGGTCAATACCCCTTTGGGTTCCTTAACTTTGACCACCTTGGATTCCTAAGTGATCTTCTTATAGGAATTGAAATGCACCTTAGTCAGGATGTATTTTAATCGCTAAATTCTTTTTTGAGAGGATATAAATGTGAAATAATCTACATAATTAAGGTTATAGTATTGGGTTAAACTCGAAATTATAAAGAAGAACAATTTTGTGTTTTTTTACAGTATATTAATATCCAATCTTGGGTAATTTCTTAATTTCATAATGAATTAATAAAATTGAACTAGTTGACTGATATTATAGTTGTGTAGATATTAAATAATTTGTAAAAAAAAATCAGTTGAGGTAAGATTACATAGTTCTTATTTGAGTGTTCATTATATATATACAAAATTATTATTGAAACACATAGTGCTTATTTAAGATTATTGTTTGGGATTGATATAATTATGATCTTTAAATCTTATTAGGGGTTAGAATATTTATTGATGATTATAATATCTTTTCAGTCCTTAATTAAATCGAATACTTTTAATATCAATGAAAATAATAGATAACAGGTTACGAAAATATTACCAAGGTTAGAGAGAGTGATTTTAAAAATCATTCAATTCCAATGTTTTAACTTTGTCTAAGATTAAGGATATTTTTTTTAATTTTTGAAATGTATCTTTTTTCTTATCTTTGTTCTTAAATGTATCATTATATTTATTATAAACTGAAAATCTAAAGATTACTAAACTATTTGTAATCATTACTAAATCTGTTTACTGTGTTTATAATTTAAATTTAATTTAGTATTATCCAAAATTAAATCTCGTAAATATTAATTTAAAACAGTTTTTTATAACATCTAACATATATTTTAATAATATTAAATTAAAATGTAATCACTTGTGAGAAATGGAATCTTTAGAAATGAAGATCAAGAATTGAAACAAAAATCTAATGTTTTTAGAAAATTATTAATATTGTAATTGAAATGTTTGTAATGAATATTCAAATTCACTTTTGCTTTAAGTCTTCTAAATAGCAACTTCCTTTGAATTTAAACAATGATTTTATATCTATCCCTTAATAATTAATGAATCGTTCTTATAAGATAAGTGTAGCAATTGCTTCATTGTAACATTCAATTGCTTCTTAAAATTATTTCAATTCAAATCACCTATTTCAGTGTTTAGCAATTAGTTACCTTTATTATTCCAAGACTAATCAGATTTAGGGTTAATAGCTATTCCTTCGTTGTAACATTCAACTGCTTCCTAAAATTATTTCAATTCATATAAAGCATCACCTATATTAGTATTTTGCAATTAGTTAACCTTATTATTCCAAAACTAATCAGATTAGGGTTTATAGCTATTGCTTCGTTTTAAGATTCAACTGCTTCTTAATATTAATTCAATTTTTCTAATGCAATTCCTAATTATTATAATTAAACAAAGTTTTTACCCTTCCAATTCCATGCATCATCATATTTAGGGTTAATAGAAATGGCTTACTTGAAACACTCAATTGCATCCTTATATTGATACAAACTGCCTAATGCATATCCTATTTTTTAATATTGAACATTAAATTACCTTTGCCACTTCATGCAGTTTCAGATTTAGGATTAATATAAACAGTTTAGGTGTAACAATTAATTGCATCTTGATATTGTTCCAATTTAGTTAATGCATTACCTAATATTTTGCAATAAACTTAAATTACCCTTGCCAATCAAAGCTAAATCATATTTAGGATTAATAAAAATAGCTTCATTAAAACATTAAATTGCTTTTTGAAATTGATTTATATCGGCTAATGTTTATCCTTAATATGAGATATAACAATTTATTACCCTTATCATACCACACTTTTTCTTCTTTA